TGCACATATAGATTTCTGAATCTGGTCCCGATAAAAGAACAGTACCCTAATTAAATAATTTTTTAATATAAACTCTCTGCTGGATTAATTTTTGAAGCACTGATATTTTTCACTTCTGTACATTGATTAGATCAAGTGATATTTCATATGGTTGCACAACAAAATAAAATTAATATTCATAGCAAATGCAGCTCTCTTCAAGTTATGCTTCAATAACTCCCAAACTGTCAAAAAGAGCCTCTCATGATATGAAAACTTATGATAACAAAAGATCTTTCACTTTTGAAAACATCAAGAAGCATTAAATAATTCAGAGCTATTGTAATACATTTGTAGAAAGTTAAACAGTCAGAAGAAAAAATAAAATTCATGTGAAAGATATGTATAACAGTTTTGATTTTAATACTTGTCAATGTTTGTCAAGTGTGTTTTTCTTTATATTATTATTTTTTTATTTCTAGGTCACTTTTTTTTTTTTTTTTTTACTTTATATGGGTATTCCATTCTAAATGCATTTTCCAGCTACTTTTAAGAGTACTTTCAGTGAACGTTTAGGTCATCAGAATCCAAGTCCTGCTAACGACATTTTTGCAAAATCTCTCTTTAGAATGAGTGTGTCAGTTTTATGTATCTACAGTTTTACCTAGAAAAAGCTTAGTCATAATGATCTAACAGTACTAATGTAACACTGAAAGTTTAACACAAAAATAAGGCATGATACACCCATAAATATATACATTATATTTTTTTCAAAGTATGCCCTAGTGCAACTGATATGCTTTAGCTTCCATTCAAAACAGCCTTGAAAGCAGTGGTTCTGAATGCCAAAAGGCTTATTCTCAAAACACTGGAGAAAAGTAACTACTAACAGAAGGTCAGGGATAACAAATGATATCCTGTACAGTGGTTCTTTTACTTCAAGGAATTTTTAAAAAAAAAGTAAAGAAAGAAAAGAAAATGAAAAACTGCTGAATGGGCAGCGTGGGCTCTAAATCATCTGATTCATTTCTTTGATGGTTGAAGAGTGAAATAATTCCAATCTAAGTGCAATAGAGTTGTGCAGGACATTGTCATAGTAACAAGCAATGATTCTACTCCATGACCATTTTCCCCTAATTTCAGCATGATAGCTAGGGAATAGTTATGTAACATTCAGCAGTGTATGATACCCCTCCAATGGTACAGTCACAACATGGCTTTTCCAATTAAAGAACATAATAACCATTAGTTTGCTAGTATTCTGCCCTTTCTTGACTTTTGTGCACGCAGATTTGTTTGGAAAGATCAGCACGAGAACTGCTATTTGCTTCAAGATTCATATTATATAAATGTTTTCTCACCTATTACACTATCATATCTGAACTGACAAAATCTTCTAAGAATTTGGCCTCAATGAAATCCTTCAAGTATTTTTATAAATCAAGTGTTTGCTTTTGACCTACTGTTGGTTCATGGCAGATACACATGTTCTTCTAAATGGCCAAATCAGCATGCAAGATTGTATGAACTTGCCTTATATCAATAAATTTCTGCTTATGTTCACCCACTTGTTGCTTCAATCATATGATGCAGACTGTTTTCCTCTGTTGTTGCATTCAAAAGGTGATTGATCACTGTAAACTTTGACATCTATGATGGAATTAATTAAACTACTTGTAATTTTCTTGTGGTGAAGACCTACTCCAAAATCTTACAAAATCATCACTTGGAACTGTCCACACGTTAATGTCATTTTCCTGCCAATATTCCACATGAAATACAGAAAATATTCCATATAAATATACAATTCTATCTAATTATACTGTCACATTTCACAGACTCATGGTACAGCAGCATGATTATCCTCCTATTTTATTCTATTTAGCCACATCTAAAAACTTTCAATATTACCATTTTAACTAACACAGAAAGAAATAAAAGTTTTGTTACATTTAATTATCAATATATCATAGCTGACAGCCCTAAAATAAGAACCAGGAAGTTCTCACACAAAAAAAAATGGGAGTTTTCAGGAGGTTTTCACACTGTGTACCATCATTTCAAAAGAAGTATAAATTGACTTAAATTCACTTTGCAATGTGTGAATTAGATTATTGAACTATTTATGAAATGATTCTGATGTAAAATGTACTAATATTTAAATAGATATTTTAAATTTTATGTTCATTCTTAATTTTTAAATTATCTTTCACTTTTATACAAAGAAAATATTACGTAAGAAAGAAATGTTTTGATTTGCCAAAGTGTTTTTAATTATGGTGAAAATATATTTAAGAACTGCATATTACCGAGTAGATAAATTTAGTAGTGTATTATATATTGATATAAAAAAAATTAGGTACTTTCTTATGATCTTCTCCCCCCTCCCGAAAAGTATTCATGAGGCAACATCAAAATAGGTAGCCAAACAGGTATGTGTACATGAATATGCAGATGAGCCCCAGTTATGAGTGTTTTATTCTTGTTTCACTGAATACAGTACAAAGTCTGAAATCCGGATGTCTAATATCCAGAATGATCTAAAACGTGGACCTCAAAACCACCAACGTTTTTCTCATAGGCTTTATGCATGCACATTTGATTACCCCCTCCGCACATAATAAAACAACTGGAGAGTCCCGATTCCTAATTTCACTTTGACACTAAATAAAATACCTCGTTATTGAAGAAACAATCATTTTAGCATAAATTTGTACCATCAGTAATTTGGCTCCGTTGCTGCATATCTTCTAGGCATACATCTTAAACCGAAACATTACACATAGATACATCATTGATCTGATGTCAAATTGGCAAATCATTATTTATTATACTTTCCTTTCCTCACCGCATGTTTATCAACACATGACAACTTGAGTAATGACACACGTAGCAATGCCCAAAAAATTTTTTATGTTAATAATTGAATAATAAAGTAGTATGGTAACCTTCACAGAAACAGCACCAGGGATCGTATGGCCACACCAGGCCGAGAATTTAGGACCCACAGAGACAGCATCAGGCGGTAAGATATCTAGCACCGACCCTTGATAAGGCTTAAGTATATGTGGAAATTTATTTATTCAGAACTCTGATAAGCTTTAAGCATGTGCAAGAAATAGACATAAGTATAATAAATAACTAAACTAATACAATTCAAGCTTAATTGTCTCAGTGTGCGATAAAAGCAAGATAAAATTTAATGGAACAACTTGTTGCCAAGCTCATGATGCATATCCAAATATGTATAGTGAAGAATAGCTAAATTTGATGATTATAGCTGCTAATTTTTAAAGGTTTTTGGACATCACAAAACAAAGGTAAAATTTTCCAATTATCGGATTCTGTAAAGAAATGTGGAAAAATGGTAATAAATGAAAATAATATAAAAGAAGTTTTTCATTGTGATGACAATGCTTCTCAATCATCAATCAATTTATGAATGGCGAAATCTGTAGTATGGTTCTAGATCCAGAAAATAATGCTCCCAATAGTGAAGAAAGTGACACAGAAGTTCGATTGACAAGTTAGTCGCAATTCTCGACACAGCAGTTGCAGGACTTCAACAATGTAACTAAACAAGAGATTATGTCTGTCTACAGAATTAGACAGAAAGTATTAGCACAAAAAAATGAAGCACTTAAACAACTTACTTTGCAAGAAATGTTTAATAAAGTAAACAAAATAAATATTAGTTTTTTGTAAATTTTGATACCCTTTAGATCATAAATACTTCAGCATTTCATAAATCACGATTTCATATTTTTAATTTTATAATTTTTACATGCCATCTTACTAGATTTAAACTGATGATCCAATATCTGGAAAAATCCAGAATCGCTGAAGTCCCGACAAGTCCGGATTTCGGACTTTGTACTGTATATTCCTTTTTCTTGTACTGAATTGTATAGGGGCTGTGGATTTTGCTGGCTGATGAAAAAGAAAGCATTGCATTGCTTCAGAAATAAAGCATTTTGTCTAACAGAAGAGAAATACAAAAATTTACATTTCCTGAAGTTGTACTCCATAAACGATTGTATTTTATGGATCAAAATTTGTAAAATTCTCTAAGATTTTAAACAAAAACAGACTGCTGTGTAGATGGTAAGAATTCTAGTCTACACATTGTCAAGCTGAGTGTAAAGCCAAATTCTGCAATTCTATATTTTTTTAAAAGCTAAGACAGACTGTTGAGTACAAGCAAAGACCATGGGGAAAAAAATAAATAAAAACAAATGTTTTATTATGGATGCTTCTTGCATTTTTAATTCTGTTAATTAGTTGCTGTTTTTATGTAATTCTTACTGCACCACCACTTCTGAAAGTGGCTGCAGTCTTTCACATCTTAACTTGCCGAAAAATTAGTCACTAATGGTTGCTAACATTTTGGAAGGGATTGAAATTATTAGAAAATACCCAAAATTAAATAAAAATATTAGATTAAATATTGGTTGAATCTTAAAAAAAATTAATAAATACCCACAGTAGAAAAGACAATTCAGATCAACTAAAATTTAATCAAAATTGATAATCATTAGGAGAGAAGATAATGAATTTTATACAATTCCAATTTTATTAATTCAATAAAATTAATTTACTGCTAGAAAATATTTTGCTTAATAAAGACTAAAATTTAAAACCTGGGAGATTGTAATTTGCTAAGAATCGGAAATGCAATAAAAAACCGGGAATGTTGGCAGCTATGATATATAATTGAAGACTTAATGCATAACCCAATTATTTTAGCTCTTGATTAAAAATAAAAAATAAAAAGAAGAAGAAGTATATCATTTTAAAACTATGACTTATAATTAAAAAATTTCAACAAAATAACATTTAAATGCTTCTTAATTTTGACATGAAATATAAAAAAAAAGTGTTCAGTATTTAGAAAAGGATTTAAAAAAACTAATTAAGCACATATGAGTTTGAGTTTTCTACCACATAATGTATATTAAATATTCTATTACATATTTATGTTATCTTAACTACATATATTCATAATACGTGAAAATAATTACCAGTTTTTCTAGGTTGCTTAGGTGCAGTGAATGTCAAAGCTTGATTTACATCAGAACTAGAAGTTTCGGCTTGAAATAGACTTGAAAGACGAGACCTGAAAAATGAAGTTATACAAATGTTTATTTGAAAGCATAATAAATGTACATAAAATTAGCAACACAACAACCTTGAGTTTGGCATAGATTTATGTCAAGATTGTTAAGAGAGTAGATTTAAGTCGCAGATATTGACTTAAATCTAAGTCAAACTCATAGTTGTTGTGTTACTAATTTTATGTTCTACTTGCCGTGTTTCATTTCTGCTTTCATAATAATGTACATTTTATATGTAAGGCAGAGAAGATGAATGTTTAAACATAATAATCATTAATCCTTTGAAGTGCATGCTATTTCCTGCTTTTGGATATTGAATGATGCTAAATAATTAATATTTTGGCCCTATAGATGAGTAATATTTGTTTGAAAAATATTATTGCATTATATTAATGATATTGTAGAACATGATCCATCCATGTCTCATTATCAATAATACTTTAAAAGACATCTATGCAAATGACATGCATTTAGGACATTCGAAACATTGTTCATGTAGGGGAAAAAAACTTATGTGCTGCTATTAGCACATTTCATAGATTATTCCAAATTATATACAGTTTTGAATATCTTGTAAAAGGAAGCTCTGCTACGCAGAAAATTATTATTAGATATTTCAAAAAATTATTATTAACCCAGCAGTCAATTCTGAACCAGAAAGAATTTATTGAAATAGAATCAAAGCCTTGGATATATAAAGTTCTCCGCATGACATTTTCAATTCAGGAAAAAAATCTATCCATATACATATACTTTATTAAAAAATATAATTACTTTGCAAGTCTTCAACTAATATGATGTAATAAATTCAAACAAATCATTTTTTAAAAACTACATAAATGAAAATCCATATGAATCAAAATGCCTACTACTGAACACAATCAAGAAATGAGAAACTTTTCTCACATGGACATGAAATAACTTCGAGTGCTGAATTTAATTAAAGATGTTTATTGAGAAGATCAAATAAAGTTTCTTTTTCCAGCAAATTTGTAGTTTTAGACTACCGCAGTGCAAACTCATAGTTACTTCCCGAAGTATAAATATTCTGGAAAAAATTAATATCTTCTTCAATGCTTCGAACATGCTTCAGAATCACAGCTATGATGAAAATGGGAAATACAATTTTGGGCTTTTGATTACACTAATTAGGATCATTTTTCTATAATCATAAATAAGATTAATAAAATTAATAAAATTCAGATAAATCAAACAATTTAGCTGAAAATATCACTTTTTATTCTAAATCAAATGAAGCAAAACTTGGAAAGATGAATTCATAAAGAGGAGCAAAGGGGGAGATTAAGCAAATATATATATATATATATTGTATTTTTTTTAAATCCCCAAATAATAGAGGTATATCATAAATGGGAGGGGAGAAAAAGGCCTTCTTTGAAGACACTGCTCTGGAAAATTGTCTTTCACAAGAAAATATTTATAATTTTCATTTAAGCTGAATAAAGGAAAAACCATGAAAACACCTACTAAAAAACTAAAAAAGTTAAAAGCTGAAAGATTTCTTAATTGTCACTTCAAATTAAGAGAAGAGGTTTAAAATACTTCCATGAATTTAAAGGTTAGGTTAGGTTAGGTTATTTAATTACGGCAAAGCCTCGAGGGCTATCTAAGGGAAGGGATGCCTTCATGGAGGACTTTCTAAGGGAAACTGCTCGTATACACGTTACACATGGGGAAAACCACGAAAACACCCATGCAGCCAGCCCGTTCGCGGGATTTGAACCTCGGACCAAACTACCAGTGTTTAGCGACTTTACCGCTCAGCCGCTGGTGGGCACCATGAATTTAAAAATATAAAACTTATTTCTTTTGCAACAAATTATAAAGAATGAATAAAAGATCTTGATTCTTGAATTCTGTAATTAAACATTATTTTTCTAATAATTCCACACTGATTGATATTTTTCACAGTGCAATATTAAAATTTTGCTCCTTTACATCTAAAAAACAAAGGTTACAACAATTTTAGAAGGAAAAGTATGTGCAAAAGGTGTACTTTTAAATTAGAAAGAAATGCAAAAATAAAAGGAATCTTCAATAATTAGAAACAAATTTGGCTCTACTCTTATATGCGCCCTAAGATCACCAAAAGTGCCGATATGTGTTCTGCGCTGGTTTTTGGCACGATTGTGTGTTGTATGGCAACTCTTTTGACGTTGAAAACTCTTTTGCTGAAGTGGTTTAATTGCTCATCAGTTCGGATCATGCATGTTTTGAAATGGCCTATGTTATAATGAGAGACGTGGTTGCAAGAGAATCTGAGAGATTAGTTTTAGTGGATTTGCGTGATAAAAGTAAGGAAATGCTGATGCGATGTATTAAAGAGTGGATTGAGCCTTGTACAACTATTTTTTCGGATGGCTGGAAATCTTACAAGGATTTAGGGAAGGTTTTGAACATTTATTTATGAACCATAATATGAATTTTCTGAACAATGTGTCGGGCTGTCGTATAAATACGATAGTGATTACGTGGCGGCATGTTAAAGGCGGTATGAAATTGATATTTCTGCTGTTCGAAAAAGCATTCATTCATGGTAAGTGCATTTTATTCTTGTTTTTATTTTGTAGAATGTTATGATCATTGTTTTTTTAGTATAAATTTCTGTCATTATTGTTGTTTTTTTTTAATTGTTTGAAATTTATTTTAGTTTATTTTGTTGATTAGTGCGTAGTGCCTAGATTGTGCAATTCGTAGATGTTTTTTAAAGTTGAAACAGAACGCTGTGTACATGATATTCCTTGAAATTTATTGTTGTAATGTTAATTTATTAAAGCGAGGTGTGCGTAGTTCATAGATTCATTTGTTGCCTAGATTGTGCAAGTCGTAGATGTTTTTTTAAGTTAAAACATTCATGGATTTTTGTCAAATATTTTTGGTTAGAAACTTTACCTTTTTGCTATCTAAATTTTTTGTTTTTGTTTCGGACTTTTAAATTGTGTGTTCAAAATGTGGTTTTTGCATGTGTGAAAACCACGTTTTTGGAGAGATTTTAAGTTTAAAATGTAGACAAAAAATTTAGATAGTAATATGGCCACGTGGTGTTTCTTGCCAAACATTTTTGGCGAGAAATTTATTGCCGCATTTGGCGACCTGAGGGCGCATATAAGAGTAGTTCCACAAATTTATTTCCTGTAAGCTATATCTTAAAATATTTGTCAGATACATTGGAAGATATAAAAAATTAAGGCATGGGAATTTTTTGTTGCAATAAATTCCAAATTTTCATAACTACACTGAAATCAGTAAGTGTTTTATAATAAGATCAACAACAATTACATCTGAACATTTAAAATATTGCCATTAAAAAAAAATAAATACATTAAAATGATGAGCATCTTTAAAAAAACAGAAAAACAGTTAAAAAAACAGAATTTATTCATATTAAATATTAAAATGATTAAATCACACTGATAGCTATCAGACTTAACATTCAGCCTACTTAGAGTAAAATATTGAGTGTTTAAGTACAGAAAAAGAAAACACAAATTTTATTATTATATAAAACGTGTTACACTTTTTATAAATAAAGTTAATTAAACCAAGTTTAACATCTTACATACCTGGCAGCAGCATTGAGAGTAAAATCTGTATCTTCATCATCCATAATGGTAAATTATATTATCTTAAGCTGCAGCTTCAGTAAATGTACTAAAATATATATAAAATAATAAAAAAAAATTGAATTTTTTCAGCAATAACAATAAATATCTTGATTAATTTATATTTAAAAAAATTTATATAATTTTAGTACCAATGCATATAGTTAAAGAAATATGATCAGCTATGATGCTAAAAATTAAGTAGAAAACATTATTCAATATGTAAGCTATAAAGGCTGATCTTTGGAATATGGTAACTGGTAGTTTGGCGACATTTTGGAGGCATATCTAGGACTTTGGTAATAATGTGAGAAGTACTCAGTTCCGATTATGCATTATTTTGCGTGAGGGAAATGAGAGATCATGAGATCTGTCATGTGACATTAATGGACGAATTACAGTTCTTTAATCGGAAAAGTGGGCAAATCTGGAAATTTCGTATTTAGCTTTATTCTGTGTTGTGTGAAACAGTGTTGGTTAATTTTTGGATCCGATGGCCCTAACTAAAGTGAATTTGAAATGGGTATTTAGTGGGATTGAAAGGGGTAGTAACAAGTGTTTTTTTAAGGTTGTGCGAGATAGAAGTAAAGATGTTTTATTAAGTTATTTATTTTACCTGGTACCTTGTTATGAACTATAAGTATGATTTTAAAGATCCTGAAACAGGCGCACATACGCTTGCTTTTTATTTAGCGGAGGAAATAAGAAAAGTTTATCGGCCACTTAATCAAGATTCTGAAGAAGATTAGGTAAGTTAGCATTTTTAATTATTTGAGGATATTATTTTTATGCATTGTTCTAAATGTAAGGAGTAAATAAAGTAATATGGTATTATTGGAAAATTGTTATTAGCAATGATTTAGTTTAAAGTAATTAGGATTGTAAGCTAATTTTTATTAATTTAATGTATGTGCTTATTTATATTTTAAGTAGTGTTTTTAAATTTAATTATATTTTAATTAAATGATAGTTATTTTGTGAATTATATGTTTGTAGGAATTTGGTATACGTTTCAGTGGAAGTAAATGTGCATGGAAATAATTTAAATATTTGACACTAAGTATTTGTAATGTTTGCGGTATGAATTCGTTGGTGACGTTTATAATATAATAGATAATTTAGATGTAAAAGTTTTTAGATATTTTATTTATTTTATATGTGAAAATGTTCATCTTTGGAAAGGGTATATACTTTTTCGCGATCAGGTAATTTCATATATGTTCTTTTTACCGGGTTTAAAGATTCACAAAATTTTCATGCATTTTCATGAAATTTTTCTAATTTATGAGAAAAATGCAGTGTACATGGATATAGTGAAGAGTGTGCGCAATGCCATTTTTGTGCAATTCTGGAATGTTTTTTTAAGTAAAAATAAGTCGACGTGTACATGGTTTATGTGTATGTGCTATTCTGAAAAAAACGCGCAAGGAGTTTGCGATTGTGCAACTTTTTCCCAATTTTGCAGTTAATATTTGTCATGATTAAGCAGTTTTGTTACATAAAATTTCTAGCATAAGTGTAATTTGGCTAGTAGATTGTTGGAAAAAGTGCTCAGTAAATAAAAAGAAAAGAAACATGTCTTTACTTTGTGAAGAAAAAATGGCGGCGAAAAAAAAATAGAGGGTTGCTGTAGCAGAGTTGGTCGCCAAATTTTCGCCAAAAAAATCACCAAGCTACCATAATCCAAAGATCAACCGCTATAAATTCCTCTAACAAATCTTTCAGAATAATGAATATTGGCAACATAATATGAAAATAGAGTCAAAGATAATCTAATATGCATAATAAAACTATTACAAAAGAGTTGAAACTGTTTGGAATGAAAACAAACAGAAAGAACAGTATCTTATCAATCTCTCTTCTGTATCATTTATTCACAGTAACACAAAGCTCACATTTCTAATTTAATTTCTTCAGAATTAAGTATTATAAATTTCAGTCATTATTATTACTACTATTACTTTGCATAAAAAATTCATGCATTCAAACATTTTTTAGCAGATCTGTCAGCAGAAGAAATATCTAGTCCTGTAAACACAATATAAATTACTTGTAAAATCTCAAAATGTAAATGAAGTTATTTTTTACACTTAAACTATAAAAACGAACTTAAAAAATAATAACATATTTTGAAATGTTTTTAAAGAATTAAGACTAAGAAACACAATGATTTCAATATTTGAATATAAATTTTACATGAATATAGTAAGCAATCTATATTCATTATTACACCACCTCATTCTCTAAGAGAAGTCATATTTCCATGAGAAATTTCTATTTTTTATATTTGAACGCAGTTTATAGAATTAAAAAATTAGAAATTGAAGTATAACATTGATTTATTATTAAAACAGGATAACTCAAAAAGATTTAAAGGGGGAAAAAGATGTACAAATGTATAACCCTAAATATCCAGAATATTAAAGAAATAAGACCCATATCAGATTTATTAGAAATTTACCTAGCATTAATCTAAAACTGAAATAATTTTAGCCCTGAATTTTGACTAATTTTTGTCCAAAGTATCTGTTCCTCTTATACCTAGTTCACAACTAATTAAATTTATTACCTTCAGAATTTATGCATAATATAAAACGTCAATTATCATTCACTAAAAACTTAAACGTGCATTAAACTGATATCACCTATCAATATTTATAACTGATATCATCTGATAACAATATTTAAATATTTTTTAATGTTTTCCAGCGTACAAGAGATGGGAAGAAAAGGGAAGTAGAAGACAGATAATAAATATGTGATGTAAATTAAATAAAAATAAATTTTTTTAAATCCCACTTGAAATTATTTTATACAAAAATATTAATTCTGCAGCAAAAGCAAAGACCAGACATGGAACTGATGCTAGAAATTTTAAAATCAAAAGTTATCAATGCAAAAATCACGATATTAAGAAACCACAGCATTAAAAATTACTTTGTTTCACTTATTATATTATTAAAAAATATATCCAGTTTTACCCCGTATATACTTACTATGTCGGGTTAAAAATTAAATTATTTTTTAGTTTAACTTACTGAGAAATGTTTTTCACACGTCATTGGAATCGCCTCAAACTTTATAATAATAATAAAAAAAAAGCAACACTAGAATATTCCTAATTTTTAAATCTACAGAGTAAATATTGCGGCACTCTATCGCTAAATAATTGATTATACAAAACCAATAACACAATCAGTGGGCAGTACTTATTTTCATGTTTTGATCAGATGACAATAATGCTTATTGCCAAATCGAAATAACAAATGATGAAAATATAAATTAGTTTCTTATTAAGTTTATAAAGCTATTTCAACAAATTTCAGTTTAATATTAAAAATGAAAACAGCATCAATCTTCATTAATTTTTTTAGTGAAATATTTTTCACAAATGTTTTACAATAGCCTAAATACAGATGCGTGTACTTCACAAAGAAAATCAATCTGTCAGCACTTTCTCTGAAATAACAGCCAAAAATGTTCATTAAATAATGAAAGCGCTAAATTATATCATTAAATTAAAACAAAAAAAGTGAAAGGTTATTTAAATATATAACGGAGGGCGTCACTCTTTAAACGGTTTTCAACCTGTAACCAATATATGAATAAGTATCTGTTATATGATTAGTCTTTTTGGGGTTGAAGTGAGAGTCCAGAAAAAGGTAATAGGCACAGATAGGAAATATAAATAGCATGGGCCAAAAATGACTCATATAAATATAAAGAAAGTGAGTCGAACCGAGGCCAGAACCCATGATGAAGTGTGCAAATTTCCTATCTAAACCCCACTAGCCTTTTGGAGTCACTTGTTTCGTACTGTAATTTAATCTTCTGCGGATTGTATCAGGATCTGGACTACTTGAAAGACTGCTAGCATCTTCTCTTCTGTAGTGTTCGTTTGTTTTATTCTTACTGCAATAACTGTGGTTTGGTTCATTAACTTTCAGGGTCTTTGAAAATAGATGAAATACCTGCAATTTCATTTAACGCGGGAGATTTTTCTCGCTGTATTTTCCGATGTTGAAGTTTTCTTGATTACTAATACGGTTATGTACTGGGAAATGTTCTTTCGTTTCATTTTCTATTTTCTGTATTTTTTTAAAACCTTTTTGGTACACTTTTAATTTTATGTAGGAGCTAACATGATATTATTTGGCAAAAATGACCGATGGGATTTTCATCAGGCTTTCAGGTGCAGGTATTTGATCTGTGATTCTTTTAAATATTTACAGTACACTTTTTCTGGGTAATGGTGTACTCACCAGGGTACCTACGCACGAGGCTTTACCCCTAATCAAACACTTAGACTTTCCTAATCAATACTTCAAATAATGAAAATTAAAATGTTAAGTCTTTTTAAGGCTTTTGGCGATTATTCATAAGAATAGAGCAAAAGAAAATATTTTGTGATAAGTATGGTAGTAAGCAGTTAATTCAGAAAGCCGCCTAACTGGTGCGGATACTGAAACCATAATATTAATGCAATATATAATAGAAAAGCATAGGTAATGTACGAGTACTTGATGCATTTTAAAGACAAAGGAAGGAGAAACAAGACTAAATATAACTAAATATAAAACTCGTACAGGTTAGCTCCCAATGTGATATTTAAATAATTAAGGATCAACACAGTAATTATTGAATACGCAATAAATAAATGAACACAAGTGCAGCAGATATAACACACATACAGTAAGACCCCGCTTAACGCGGGGCATACGTTCCATCGAAGTAGAGCGTAATGCGAAACAGCGCTAAGCGAGGCTATCTAAACATGTAAATAATGGGGTTAGGGGAAGACGGATAAAAAATGGTTAGGCATTAAATTTAATAATGTTTTTTTTAATAAAAATAAAATCAAACATTTATTTCTTACAAAAATAAAAACAATATAAACTTTTAAAAACAAATAAAATTCTCAGTCAGATCATTCAGTCTATTCTGGGTTTCCAATTTTCTGCCTTTTTGTCAAGAAGGCATTATGATAGATTGGCTTAATGGCATATTGCGTTCAATTTCGTCGTCAATCCATATAGACAGTCGTTTTCCCATTTCCTCTATAATGTTATTTCTAGAACGGGTAATTCTAGTTGCAGAGCTTGACGTAGTTGCAGTTGCCGATGACAGTATTTTTTTCTTTATTCTTAAGAATTGTCCTTATTGTTGAAGTTGCCAAAATCAATGCAGCACTAATTTGAGATTGACGTTCACCAGAATCTAATCTTCTAATCACTTGCATTTGAGTTTCCAGTGAAATGCTTTTTCTGGTTGCTTTCTTTTCTTTCTTGTGTTTTTTATTATCACCCATGATAAAAACTAAAGATCATAATATTTGTCACTGTATTAATCGTTATAGTATTATAACAAATTTAAACCTACATAATGTCAACAAATGTTTCAAATGATAAAAATGCGTCCCCCCCAAAGCAAGAAACACAACTACAACACTGTTTCGGATATGTATTTGGAAACCTAGCGCTGCGCACAATTTCGGAGAATCCCCGGGTTGAAATAAAAGAGCTCTAAACCGAAACAGCGCTAAACGAAACAGCGTTAAGCGGGGTCTTACTGTACATCATTGTCCATATTCAGATTTGACACAGGCCTTTTAAAGTTCATAGGATTGTCAACATCATATTGACACATTTTGATAGCAGGGTTGTAAGTCAATTTTTGTCGTTCATAAAAGTTATTTGCAATTCCGTGATAACGAGTTCTTAATAATTCCATTTTCAGTTTCTGGAGAATCCTATTGTTTCTTATATACCACAGTTGGCCAAACTTCATGCCAGTTTTAATTAATTACTTCTTTTTGGACACTGAATAGTTTTAGTTTACCACATTTCATGCATATATTTTATATGCATGCGCCGCACAAATTGCCTGCGAGAGCCGTATCTGGCTCGCAAACCGCACTTAGGCCACCCCTGTTATATACCATGGAGAGTTTCTAATTTGGCGCAGAACGCAGTTCTGAGCCGTCTGGAGTAAACGACATGAATAGGCCCATAAAAGGCAAGCATAACATAAGAATGGACGCAAGATGGGCTTGTAAATGAGTAACTTACATTCTTACTTAACTTAAATGAGTAACTTACACTAACTTAACTTGTCTATAGATAGACCGCTGTTTCAAGCAGTCAAGGGGAAGAGTTGTGCTTTATGGACTCGAAACTTCAAAATAATAAATGTAATATGTGGGGTTGATGTGAGAGAAGTACTGAGGATTACCCCGAGATAAGAGACTTGATTCATTTTTTTTTTTTTTTTTTTTTTTTTTTTTTTTTTTTTTTTTTTTTTTTTTTTTTTTTGTGAACAGAATGGCTTGGGTCTTGTCCATGTTTATCAGAATTTTCCATTTTTGCAGCCAAGTCTCAAGTGTTTGGATGTGTAAGCGTTGAAGGACTGGACTAAGAAATGCGCTTTGTGTCAGGATCGCTATTTCGTCTTCATGCATTGCTAATGTGGTGTTGGATGTGGTGGGAATGTCATTCATGTAAATATTGAAATGTGTGGGTCCCAAATGGGAACCTTGGGGGACACCATTTGTGCTGTATTCCGTATTAACAAGATGTATTTAGGTTACACAATTGAAGGCAGACGTAATTAGAGGGATAAACGTAATTTTTTAATTTCTAATAACAAAATAAAGTATCTTGTTTGTATATGTGAAATGCATTAATTTAAAATAGAATTATTATTTCCGATAAAGTTTATTGGTGTAACTTAAATATGCAGTTCATTACATTTATAATCATTAACATTTATAAAATTTGATGACATAGATTAAATTCTCCTAAAATACAGTTTGAAAATTCGTTCTTTATAAAATGAACTAACTTGTACTTTTGGAGACAAATTAATATTAATTTACACTCTTTTATCACAAGTGAGATTTTAATACAGCTAATACAGCACGGCGGTTGGAATGTGTACCAGAAACATGAACGACAAAGTGTCTTCCTGTCAGGTAGGATTTAATTATGTTTGTGATATAATCTGGAAAATCCCGATTGTGTATTTTGTATATTAGTACATCCAGCCATGCGGGGTCAAAAGCTTTAGCTATGTCTAGGATGATTCCTCTTATGTGGTCTTCTTGATTTGGAAACCTTCGTTCATCATCTCAACTAATCTGCAGAGCTGGTTGGTTGTAGAGAGGTTTCTTCTAAAACTGAACTGGTGAAGTATAATGATGTTGTTACCATCAGGTAGGTAATTATTCTCTTGAATGGAACAGCTTCGACAATTTTTCTGAGAGACGACAGAAGACTTATTGGTCTGCATGACTCCTGGTGCTGTAGCAGGCTTCTTGAGGTTGAGGATCGGAGTGATGGTGGCTAATTTCCAGGCATTCGGGAAGTATTGCCGTTCTAGAATCACGTTGATGATTTTGTGAAGCTGAACACTGTTTTCATTCAGAAGATCTTTATCATGGTGTTAGTAAACTTGTAAAAGCCAAGACTCTTAATCTAGACTCTTAATCTTACTCAAGACTCTTTTTCATCTTTTTGATGTAGCTAAAGATTACTCAAGGTAAGACTGGAATAATATCGTCTGTGTATGGATTTGATGTGTAGGTAGAATGGAAGATGGCAACTAAGTGCTCTGTTGTTGTGTCATGACTATTGTTTGTGCGAAACTGAGACTGATACTGAGCTATAACTTTTGCTTTCTCAGTTTTAGCGTAGTGGATGCTTTCAGGCCCTTTAAGAGGCGGAATTTTATTGCAGTATTTCGTATACCTTCGTGTAGCTCTCCACAGTGAGTTATCACCAGTGCAGAGCGAGTTAAGGTAGATCGTCAAGTCGAGTTGTACTTGTTCGTTACTATGGAACTTGATTGCGGCGTTTAGAAGATCGAGTATCTGTTTGTGTACAGGATTTCTTGTGCGTTGAAAATGTCTCCTTGCTGCATTTCTCTGCTTAATAAGTTAGCACGGACATCATCAAAAGTTTACTTTCATTTTTGTCTCACTGCTTAGAAATTTTAATTTAGGGAGTCAGTTTTACTTGGTATATATAATCCACTTTTTGTTGTTTATAAGATAATGTGAAAAATAAAATTATTTTACTCATTTTATTGCAGTAATTTCATCGTACTCTGTTACTTTTCGAAATTAATTCACAAAATAATTACTTACTTCCAAGCGGGATACTTAGCGTCATATTACAAATGATGCCGTACTTTTATAAACAGGTTCTAGTTATATATAA